CGGCGGTGACGCGGCGGCCGCGCGCGCCCCGCGCCCCCTCCCGTCCCCTCCCCTCCGCGCGCGCGCTGCAAAGATGGCGGCACTGAGCAAGTCCATCCCCCACAGCTGCTACGAGATCGGGCACACCTGGCATCCGCAGTGCTCCTGGGCTGTGCTGCACGTCACCCAGAGCGCCCTGGCAGAGTCCCTCCGCATCTACGGCACCCTCTACCTGGTGCGTATCTGTACGTGTGTGTGTATGTTCGGAAGCCCGGCCTAAGGGGGTGCCTGGCCTGAGACGACAAGGGCACGAGGGGTATCAGAGAGGGGGGAGCCTGGCCTTGGTTTTGGGTGGATACCAGGGTGCAGGGGGGAGCCTGGCCTGGGGTGGAAAGGGGCTACAAAGGACGTGGTGGGAGCCTGGCCTGAGCAGAGGGGGAAGGGTATAGGAGGTGTTTTTGGGGAGGGCACAAGAGGTTGGGGTGGCGGGGAAGGACATAAGGTATGTTAAGGAAGGGAGGCTCGTCTGGGGTGGGGGGAGAGGGTCATGGTCAGAGGCAAAGGGCAGGAGAAAAGTCAAGGGGCAGCCTAACCCTGGAGTGAAGGGGAAGAATCGCAAATAGTATGTTTTGGTGTGGAGAGGCTGGAGGGTTGAGTGGGGGCGGGGGGAAAGGCATGACAGGGAGAATATTATGTTGAATCTGGGCCAAGTAGGGCAGAGGAAAGACATAGGGGGTGGTGGTGTCTGGAGGAATAACATACTGTGAGAAGGGTGGTGCTGGTGGGTAGAAGGGCATGGGTACAGCCTGAACATTGTATTTTTGTCATCTTCCAATACCTATGATACCTGAATAAAAAGCCTTAGTGTTTGCCTGGGAGGCTAGCATTATGTCTTTGGTAGTAGCAAGTGTAATGCACGCGTGTTGGTGATGCCTTCGTAATCAGTGCTTTAAGATCAAGGAGATTCCATTGCATAATGAAGCAAGACCAAAAAAATGCATCAAGGCTATAGGAGTCTGAGTATTTATAGAGTGTCCTACAGGTGAGGTATCTTAGCTTGAGCGTGCAATTAGGCTTGGTTATATCACCTCTGTTGCAGCTGGCACATTTCCAGAAAATTAGGTAGATAAAAGAGCTGGGATGTGTTTGCATCATCTGTGTAAACATAACCTGAAAGCCAATCTAGGTTGGAATCGCTGCAGGTGAGCGCTTCTGTCCCCACCTCTGTGCTTCTCCCATGGTGGTATCCGGGGGATGGAGGAGTAGGCTGGCCACAGAACTGCCCCCAAGCTCATTTGACAGAAAGAAGCACAAGTCATTGAGTCTGCACCAGTGGTGGTGCAACAGAGTTATTGAGCTGTGTAATAAAGAGAAGGAAAGGAGTGGGACAGCAGCATCCTGACATATTCAGTTAAGCTCCCATTGAAGGGTTTCTTGAGTGAAACTTGTGATGACATCCATTTATATGATAAAATAGTAACTGGTGAACCTAAGGAGCTGTTGTGTCTGACTGAACATTTTCACTCTGAACTTCCACAGACAGGAGTGGCAGCTGTTGCTGGGAGCATGCAGTAAGTTGCATCATTAAACTAACACAGGGAACATTCTCTCTTCTCCTCTGCCTTTACCTCGTACTGTTTTCTTTGAATCTGTTTTCTGATCTAGTTTGCTCTGTACGAGCATAAATACTTGTACCAGCAGAGCATGGTTTTGAAGTGAGCCATGAGAGGTGTAGTGGTGATCTTTCAGGTCTGGCTAAAAATAAAGCAGCTTTAGCAGTTCTGTAATTAAATCAAAATTCCCTAACAGCCAAACCTGGTCAAGAGATTTCCTGCTCATTGCTCTGTTACGGTTCACTCAGTTGTGCAGTCATGTGTTAGGGGGAAAGCTTCCACTTTTTATTTCTTTAGAAAGAAAAACAAACCTAAAAATGCAAAATGTTTTCCTGATCTGTTTTGCATTGTGACCCCATAAACAGTTATATCTTGTCACAAACCCAAAGTGAGGTGGGAACCTTCTCAACCAATTTCCTGCTGTATTGTAAAACCTCTGCCTCACTTTTTACACTGTATTCTTTGCAGTTTAGTTTAGTTTCTCTTAGGTTTTTGTTGATAGTATTCACCTGCCAGAGTAATCTAAAGCTGAGCTGCTCTCAGATCTTGCTGCTGTCTAAAAAGAGAGGAAGCACTTGCCGGTCTCTGCTCCCAGACACATAACTGTACTTTTTCTTTGTGTGACTCAGGACCTCATCACTTCATGAGCTAACCCACAAGAGGTTACTTACCCTGCTTTTAGCTGGGGTAATTTTCAGATACAGTGATGAATTCAGTTGGATTATTAAGCAGGATTTGATGAGCACCAGAACCAGTGTAAGGTAAAAAGGAAAAGGGTGCAATGTCGAATGCAGAGGAGGAAGCAGAAGTTTTGCACATTAGGTAGCTTGACAGGGGAAGAACAGTCTTGAATTAAGAAAGTCATCACAAAATTCATTCTTTGCTGGGCTTACAGCTGTGCTTGGAAACCTCATATTTGTAAATGAAATGCCACAGTTGGACATCAGAAATGTTCAGGTTCACAGAGGGGGATGGACCTCAGTTATTTTGTGTTTATAGTTATATCACTGTGTGTTCAGAACGTTTTTGGTAGTACTGGTCCTTTGTAGAGCTCAGCAACAAAAAATGCACTTCATTTTTCTATGTCAAGTCTATAAAATGGCTTCTGATTGTTCCTCCTGTTGCTACAAGCTAATAACTAAGGAAAGAAGATTAAAGACTTTTCTTTCACAAAAGCTTGTGTGGAAATGAATGAGAATGAATCGATGAGAATAAATTCTCTCAGAGGTTGTTCTCTGAGAGAACATGGTTAGGGACAGTTACAATCTAGAGTCCAGACTTATAACAGCTTCACCCCATATCTCTTAAATGCTTTGTTTCTCTTGGATCAGTGGGAGACTGATGGAGCTGAGTGGTGTTAGTAAGTGAAATATTGGCTGTTACTAAATGACTGCATAGAGTCTTTGCTTTTAAGTAGTGCTGTACTCTTTGTTTAGCTGTTTTATTTTTCCTTCTCTTTTTAGTAATTGTGCTTGAGTATTTTTTAGTTGGAAAAATATAGCCTTGAGACATCATATTTGTACTGTCTTTATTTTTGCTCCAGTGCTAATGGATTGCTTTAGTGAAAATAGGCATCACATGTAAATTGAATTACCCCTCCCCATATGAAGTGGCTGACAGGAATGCCTGTTCTGTAATTAAGGCAGCTTGTGTTTTCACAAACCAAATGTCCCCATATGCAAGTCTTCTGAGACCCACTTAAAAAAAAAAGGAAAGTGGCTTAGCATCTATACCTGAGAAGAACCCCTAAACAATCTTCCCTAAACCTTGTAATTACTCTTTTTGAAAACTATTTGCCTTGATATCCTGAAACTTCAATGACAAAGTCCTTCCTAAGAATTTGCTGTACTTTCTTCCATTTATACTTTGTTTTTACATTAGTCGAGCTAAATGAAATGGGAAGATATCATCTTGTATTTTCAAAGCTGAAGAACTCAGACTTCTAGAAATTCTCAAAGGTGAGGAGAAGAGAATGATTTAACAGGGAAATTGCATGAAGTTGGGAATAGGCTGGAATATTGGCCTTGAGTTTCCTCAGCTTCCATTTCCCACAATTCTGTTGATTTCACATGGGTAAAGTGCTGTTCATCACATGCTTTAGAGCAAAGTCTTCTATTTCCTAGGGATTTGTAAGTTTTAGACATTTGTTTGCTGATAGTGCACAGTAGATAAATGTGCTTAGTCATTTTTATGAAGTGTTTGTAGGGCATCAGAGATAATCTGATCAGGTAACATTTTCACCTAATCTAAGTAAGGTAAAAATTATTTGTTTGCTACTTTGTAGTAGCAGTTTTAGAACTCATTCTTCTAACCTTTTGCCTGTGGGATGGCAAGAGTCATTCATGCCATTCACCTTTCCTTTCTCTTAGTCTGATTGTCTACTTTCTTCACCTAATTTAAGACAGGCTTCCTTCCTCACTTTCCATTCTGATTTCTGTCCTGCCCCTTTCCCTTACAAACACAGGTCTTCCTCTCCACACCTACATCTCCTGCCTTCAGCAGCACCAACCCCTTCCTTTCCAGCACCAACCCCTTCCTCCCCCTATATCTGGTTCCCTTCCTTCCTGCTGCTAAAGGGCACATTGCCCAAGCTAGTTCTTGCCTTACTTCTGGCTGTGACTCCAGACACTTCTCCCACACAGGTCTGCTGTCATAGAGGAGAGGAGCAGCAGTTCTAGTGCAGTATGGGTGCCAGCAGGTCTATTTCAGATGTCCTCTGCACTGAGGGATGGTTCAGCCAACTCTTTAGAACAGATGTAACCAGTGTCTGTTGCTCTAGTACAGATTTTAATGATCCTCAGCACTTGCCTCTATTTTACTGATCTTTTTTTGTTTCTTAATTTCTTCTCATGCTTGTTTTGTTCTCATTTTCTTAATTTTGATTCTCATTTTGGCTTCACTTCTAATATTTCTTCTTACTTGTGCATATCTGCTTCTTCCTGTGCCTAGAATAACCTTCAGGTTCTTGAATGCTAATTGCTTCTTTCTCTTCTCTTTCTGTGTCAGAGGGGTTTTGTTTTCTACTTAGGGTTCCAGTGCTGTTGTCTTCCTGAGCCCTGTTTGACCCATCAGTATCTGTATTCTGTATCTTAATCTCCATTCTTTATTCTGCAACCTCTCTAGGAATAGGATAGCATTGTGTATTACATTGTCAGAGACATAAATGCTATCAGCTCTTGTAAAAATATAAGGAGTTTTTTTCTTCCTCTACACTATCAGAGGGGAGACATTCATAGGAGTACAGCATGGGCCAGAGAGCTGCAGTGCAGGCAGCGTGAGGCAGCTGGCAGGTCACTTCCTGGGTAAATCACTGTTTGACTGGAGGCAGCAGTAGCAAGAACAACTCTTCTTGTGCTAATGAATTATTTTGAATATGGTTATAGGTAAGACAGAATCACCAGCCAAAGATCAAGGTGAAATGTGTCTCACATCACTTTCCTGGCTCTAGGCACATTTCTGTAGGATTGGGCCAGAGATCGTTCCCAAGGATGGATGATGCACGCTGGCTGTGCTGCTGGTGCTTGAGGCTCACTTTTCATGCAGCTTCCCTTGGGAGAGCTGTTTGAACTGGTCCTGAGCAAAGGTGGGAGGCATCTAACACTAAAGTGGATCCTCTCTCATCTGCCAGCATAGATAAAGTTGTCATATATCATCTTTGAGGTGTGCAAGAAGACTGTACTGCCCAGATTGAATTCTAAAATACTCTAGAATTGCTGGGTATATTAAAATGTGATTTTTCCTTGTTTGTGCTGCAAATGATTGTGTGTTTAGGAGGATGGGGAGAATAGGGAGAATGATAGTGTTACTATGGAATATGCTTCTGGATACCAGCTTGAATGTCTGGGTTAGGCTGTCAGTAATCTTTCTCCTGTCCAATCCAGTACCTAGAGTTGCTGTGATGACGGTATGTGATTGCCTCCTTTTGGATGTCTGTTCATCTTAGTACTGTGCACTGTCCTGTGTCTCTCTGCTATGTTATGAATGACATGTAGGTCACTGTCTTCTTGCCTTTAGATTCTTCTGGAAGCTGGCTTAAATATGACTAAATTTAGCCTAAGTGTTACTAAAGTAAGAATCTGTGACTTCTTCATTCCAGGGTGTGATCATTCCACTCTGTTCAGGTGGCTTTCAGGCCACGATATAAAAATTATTTCATAAGCTGAAAAGAAACAAAAATAGTCTTTTGCTGAGATGCTAAGAATTAAAAAAGATTCATACAAGGAATTCAGGTGAACTGAAAAATTTGTGCTTAAAGATGTAAGGAGTAACCAGGAGCCTGCATTACGGTAATGCTGGAAATCAGGGAAAGCCTCAGCCTTGACTGACTGAGCAAAGTTCTTGATAAAGACACTACAATTACTGAGAACTAGCAGGGATTTTTATCAAGGAATAAATCTGTTCTCTTAAGTTGGTACAGCTTTATAGTAGAGTGCAAGAATTTCAGGGTAGGAGGACAATCCTTGAAAATTATGCTGAGTTAGACATTTTAAGGGGAATGAAATACAATCTCCAACTCATTTCAGTAGAAGGAAAACAAATAGTAAAGATAATTTGTCATGAAATGAAAGTGGTTCCAGGCTTGAAGGTAATTGAGATGTCATTAAAAATATATGTGAGTATTGTTTGTTTCTTTTTTTAATTGGTTGGGTGATATGGAAAATTTTAAAGTATCCAAATCAAAACAACTCAACCAACTAATGGTGATCCTCATATCACATCTCGCATAAGACAGGGAAACTCAGAGAGCAGGAGGCACATGTTCTTCTTCCTCAGAGTATTGCAGGAGCTGAGTTACGAAATTAAACAATCTGAAAGCCAGGTTTTGTAATCGGTGAATTTAGGAAGGGATGAGCTAATTGAGGAAAAGCAAATCTGAGTGTTTGAGAGGCCACATGAGAAACAAATTGCTCATTTGAACAAGTGTCTTTCAAAACCCAGGTATTATCTGAGGGCATTTGAGATTCGGTTACTCCAAAGCACTAAAAAGTAATTTTTATTAAACAAAGGAGTAATGTTGTTTTAAAATTTGTAAAAAATTGCAAATGGTTCTAAAAGAACATACAAATGATTGAATATAATTATGAAGAAATCTGGCATCTCTTAGTAGCTCTGCCTGCCTTTTGAGTAATCTGAGGTATTTTCTTAACTGTTTTAAATACTGGGGGTTGCTTTGCTTTTAGCTTGTGATTTAATTTATAAATTTTTCCTTGGGTTTTTAATGACTTGCAGCATATGGATTCTATAAGCCACGTTCACAGTAGTATTGGTAATTTCTACATTTTCATTTTAAAGATGCCTCAACATGTCAGATAGTTGTGCTTATAAATGGTATTGAACTCTCTTTTCCTAAAGATCTGGCTAAGTGTCCACATATTTCCATAGCATTTTTAAAAAAATTTTCTTATTTTCTTTTTCATTTCCTCTTTATCTTTAGTAAAAGTCTGTTATGATGTGGTTGATTTCAGCTGGATATTGTGAAGGAATGAGAGATGGTAGTGCGTTTTTCCATCAGTCAGTGTAGTATGTGTTGTCTAATTCCACCAAATTTTGATGGAGGGGTAGTGAGTAGTCCTTGAAGTCATACACTTTGTACAAACTTAGGACATGGTTAAAAAGGGAGGATGGAGGAGGGAGAGACAAAAATGTCATATACACAAACAGCAGAATTGGCAGAAAGCCTGTGGTGTTTTTAGCCTGTGGTGTAACCTGTCGGTTGTACAACTATATGTTGGTCAGCCAATTAGTACATTCATTAAGTCAAACCATCCTTTGTGTGCAGTGCCTCTTGTGGAATCCATAGTTCAGGGATATAGGTGAGGACTGAGGAATACTGGGGTGAAGCTGAGGTTATTGTGGCTGGATGATGAATACTTGTAGGTGTTACATGACACATCATGAAAATAATCAGGCCTGGCTGGTGCCTCAAATCATATTTGGGTTTGAGTTTCGTATACCTTTTCTGCTGGAACACCAATAGCCTAGCTTAAATCTTGCAGTAGACTATGTAGCTGTGGTTTAGGGATGGTGTTGGAATTGCATATATTCTTTCCACAGTTAGGACACAATAAATAATTTTTGGTTTTTTTTTAGATCTACAGGGCTTAACATTTGTGTATAAAGACTAAATTAAAAAAGAAAAAGCATTTGAGTAGTGATATTCCGCAAAAAAAAATTCAGGTATCCTGAAACTGGTGGACTGATTTTTTTTAACTATATTTTTTATGTTGGAGAGTCAAAATGCAGTTGTGTGAATTCTAAAATTAATGCTATTAGATGCTAATAAATTAACTATAAGGCTAATAGAAAAACTTCTTTTCTGTTTCTTTATTAATATTGATCAGGCTTTTTTTTTTTTTTTTCTTTTTTTTTTTTTTTTAAATGCATCTGTTAGCATCTTCATGGAGATTATTATTTTGCCAAGGAAGTACCTACTGGATGTTCTGATGCCCTCTTCTTCCATTCTTTCTGCTACTGACATCCACTGCTAAGCCTTGAGCAGTGCATTTATTGTAAGAATTTAGTTTTTATAGCAATATCCTCTCAGCTGACTTGAGTGAAGTGTATCCCAGTGGGAGCCATGAATTGCTGCATTCTGACATAGGTTTCATAATCTTTCTGCACTTTAATAATACTTTTCTGAAATGTGTGAAACTGCTAGGGACAGCAAAATGGTATCCAGAAATATCTGGTATTTTTTCCATGTAACCTCATCACTGGTAGTAGAAGAACTCTATAGTCTGCTCTTGTCTACTTTCAGCCCAACACAATTTTCAGTTTTGTTGATGTCTATAAAGCAGTTAGAAAATTTTAGCTTCTATAAGCTTCTTGATTTTTGTTTGTTTTGGTTTTTTTTGGTGGGTGTATATGAAACTATTACTCTCACACATATTTCTCTTTCAATTAGTGTGAGCAATTTTCTTTGGAAAGGTTTGTGTGTTATTGTTTCTGGTTATTTTCTATTTTTCATTTGGGAGTAGGACAGTAAAGAGAAGGGAAAGCAGAAATTTACATTAGTCTAAAACTTGCTAGAGACATTACAGAAATAAATTCTTAAATTTGATTTGACATACCAATCTCTTGATTTGGTACCACTGTTTCTGTGTTGCATTTCTTACACTTTGGTCTGAAGGATCAAGGTTTTTCATGTGGGTGTAAGAGCTATGTTCTTAAAACAAAAAAAAATAGTTATTTTGTTCCAGTGTTCATGTCCTTCCTACAGTATGTTAGAAATATCTGAGTGGTAGCAGCTAGCTATCTGGCGTTTAGACTACATGAAGACTTTCCTTCAGCAGAAATATTATCTGGATTGCATTACTGCCTAATCCATTATGCTTAAAGCAGTCTTGACACATCAAGTAATGTGTAAATCTGTTTTCAGAGGTCTGTTCATGCATGGATTTCTTCTTAATCCTTAGTTCAAGCTTCATTTTGCAAACAAGATTTTGGCAGAACTTTCCCGTGGTTAGTTTTAGTAGAATCCTCAGCCTATCTCTGATTCTAGAACATCTACTTGCTTTTCAGTGAGCAATGTTTGGGAAGAATATCTCCTTCTCACAACTAAGACTTTGAGATATGTGGGCAGTATGGATTTGACAGGGTGTCTTTCTTCTCATCAGCACTAGCAATGTGAAGCTTGCTTTGCTTGGAACTTCTCTAAGCATTGACCAAAAACTCTGGCCAGTTTTGAAACTCCTGGGGAGATCAGTGCAGATAAAGATGATAGTGCTAGCAGAATGAAAAAAGGATAGAATCTGTCTCATGGTGCACTCAAAGTGTACTTTTATGGAATTGTAAGAGGACACAGGCTGATGGGACCTTGGGAGGCTCTGAGGTTGCTTAAGGACTTTTCTAGTTAAGTTTCAAGGGTCTCCAGGAGCAGAGAGTCCACAGCAATTTTTGGTAACCTACTCCAATATTCAGCCACCCTCAAATGAAAACTTTTTTCTTTAGGTCTAACCAGCGTTTCCCATACTTGAGCTTGTCTGTTGCCTATTGTCTTAGTCCTGAGTATCTCTGAGTTTTCTACATCTTCCAGTTAGCTAATTGCAGAATTTCTGTAGATAAAAAAAGTTTGAGGACCTTTAGTCCTTTTTTTAGATTGAGCCTGTTTTGTGATATAGGCAGTTTTTAAGTCAATATACCGATTCTATAAAATATGTCAGGAATGTGTTGTTCTCCCAGCAGATGTTGAACATTTTTTGAGGGGTTGCAGTAGAAAACCTTTAAAAATACATCATCACTTCACAGATACTGTAAGGCATGTATTTGGATTACTTTAGAGATATTCTGACCATAAATTATGTAATTGTCCAATTTCCTTGAAGCAAAAACTCTGTAGATATATCACATCTTAAAAGTTTTGATATCTGGCAGACAATGTTTCTGACAATTATGGTCAATGGTAACAAGGTAATAAAATTCCTCCTATAATGGTATAAATATTGTAATAGCTGGAACAAGTTCAAAGGAAATCTTTGTGGTATTGTTCATAAAGTTTAAGAGGCTTTGTTTTACTACTTAAGTGGGCAGGCCTCATTTTATGTTTTCCTTTTTCTTTATGATGTGCAAAAAGTGTCTAACTGAATTAAAGTTTGTCCCCCTTTCCTTCTCCCGCAGGTTGCAGCTATTCTCAGGAAACGAAAGCTTGAGTATTATTTGTACAAACTGCTACCTGAGATCTTGCAGTCGACTTCCTTTCTGACAGCAAATGGGACCTTGTATATTGCTTGCTTTTGCATTCTAAGGTTGGTACACTATCCTAAAAATGAAACATAGTAAAGCTGTTTTTGTGCAACTTTTCAATTTGTGTAGTAATTTTTCTCTTTTTTTAATAGGCTTGCTTGTAATGTTTTGAAATAAGAAAAGCTACAGCAATCATTTTGATTTCTGGTTTTACCATTTGAATATGGAACTTTGGTTTTTTAAAATTACTTTATTCTCATTTTTGTAATCTTTTAAATGAGTAAACTGGTTAAGGCATCCACTTTGCTTCTTCTTCTCTGTTTTACAGATTCAAAATACATTGTTGCAGAAAATTCAGATAGATTCTAGAGGGGAATTAAAAAAGCGTAATCTTTCTTTCCTATAAATAATTGATGTAATTTTATATTGGCTTCTATTTTCCTGAGGCACAGGCTATGATAACTTTTAATTGTAGTGAACTTTATCCAGCCATCCAAGTTTGTTCTTTTTCTTATGGTCATAAATGAAGGGAATTCCAGCATAGCTTCTGGGATAATGTAAGATACAGACTTGCTCTGAAAAAAGAGCATAAAGGGCACCTCTGTATTCAGTTTCCAGCATATATTTCAAGTAACTATCAGGATAGTTGAAAATTAAAAGTTACTTTTCATTAATATGATTATGCATTTATAGTAAGAGATGTTACACATTGACATGTAAAGCCTACAGTAGCTATGAATGTTTGAAATTTAACTGACAGCCCCTCTAAAAGGTAAACCCCTTATTCTGTACTTTTAAATTTGTTTAGAGGCCTCTAAACTTTCCTTCAAAACTGAAGGAGAAGGCAGAGAAGAAGAGCTGGCTGAGCCGTGGATTGCTTTTCAAGTAAATAATTCTTGAAGTTCAAAGTGACTCTCTAAGTAATGAGCTCTGAAGAATATGAGGTTTTCTAGCAATATGGGTTGTATTAATATCGATTTATCTCTATTCCTCTGAAGTAGAGTCTTCCTTATTCTGCTATGTATTTGGCTGTAAATCTGCAGTACTGTAGTTAAATGTTATTCCCTAAGTTAAGCTGCTATGTTTTTAAGTTTTATGGTTTTCATCAGTTCCTCTTACAGAGGATATTAGCCACCTAGCAGATCTGTGCCTGTGCTAGTCAGTGAAGTAGGTAAGAGATCAGTGTCTTACAAGCCAGTTGGCATGGCATCACATTCACCCTGTGTGGAGTACAGCTGTCTAAAGCTGGTCTGACCTCCAGAGCAGCATGGCCAGATGCAGGCTGGGTAACAGAAATGCTGCTTAGCCTGGCTGCCCTCCAAGTCTCCTTGAAACATTGTTTGGGTTGACCTAGGTCAGAACTATGTAAAGAACAATTCCAATGATTAAATGTGGCAAGGGACACATGTAAGTGCTTACCCTGCCATTGGTACAGCTGTGCTGCACAGTAACCAACCAGCATCTTGGGAGGTGTATGTGCTTTTTCTCTTGCAAAGAGATGCCCTTGAGGAGTAAACAGCTGCAGCAGAATCCTTACTGGTAGAGTCTGTGCACACTGCCCACCACTCACAATTGCAGGACTTGCAACTACAAAGCTGTTGGCTAGAATGCTGATTTGAACTGTTTAACTGAAATCACTAATAGAGGTAAAACAAGTGTTTAAGGCAGCCATGGTAACGGTGCTTGTTGAAGTATATGAATGTCCAGTTAGAGTTAGAATTTCTCACCTTTTCTGTCCAAATTGAAATTCAGAGCCTCATCAATTAAGTGATTAGGATATGTAAGAGCTATTAAATGACATTTCAGAAAACAGTGGATATCTGGAATCATGATAACATGATTGTCAGAGAAGAAATGCTTTCCAGGCTTGTATCCTTTGAAGAACAAGTACACGCCTGGTGATGATCTACTTGGTGCATTTTCCATGAACTGCCAAGTACCTTTGACAAGAGTACTTGCTAGGACTTGTCAAGAAGAAAGGTCCTCTGTCTTCCAGGAATTAGTAAATGATTAGCAAGTAGTTAATATATCTGAAACAAAATGAGGCATAAATAATTGGTTTGCATAGTAAAAAGAAGTTGCCACTGAAGTTCCTGTTATGTCCTTTGTTTTGGATATACTTAAGGAATCTGGAAAAGGGGCTGACCACTAGTATGAGAGATTGTATAAGATTATTTCGGGTACAGAAATCTAAAATGGACTCTCATTCATTTCAGAAAGACCTGTTGATTAAAATCACTTATGAAATTTTATAGAGAAAAATGCAAAGTAAAAAAGCAGCTCAGTCCTTACTCAGGGATGGGCTTTAAACTAGCTGCTATTTATCAGGAAGGTGTTTGAGGATCATTATGGGTAGATTCTTTGAACAAGTCACTTCAGCACTTGAACATGGTCAAGGAGCTGAGTGAGTGGTGTTTGGAGAAAAAATGAGACCTCACCAGGAAGCTGAATGAATACATGACACCTTTTGAAGCTGAGCTCTGTATGCCTTTTTAAGAGTTTCTCCTAAGATCATAATGTTGAAAAGTCATCACTTGAAGTGTACTTAATGTCTTGTATTTAGTATACTTGTCTTGCAGCTTGAGCCATATATGTTTGCTTCTCTCATCTAGTCTTGAGTGGTTAATGGAGGATGGAAATGTGAGACTTCAGTCCTTTATTTTTAACCAGTTTGTGTCTTTTTTAATATTTGGGTTTTTTTTAATGTTTTGATTGAAGTTCTATTATTCTTTGAATTTACTGCAGTGTGATACAGTGTACTTCCTTCAGTAGCCCCTGAGAGCAGGGGTAATGGTATGTGATTATCTATGCCAGAAACATTTTAAACTATCAAAGAAATACCAGTACCTCTGTTTATGCATAACTGGCCTGAATATTTCTGGACTTGATATGCAGCCATGGAAAGAGATTGTTTGAGACTGTGAAGACCTGTGTCTCTCCATCTGGTTTTAGATAGTGATGAGAGATTGGATGTGATAGATTTGTACAATAGGATATATGTTGCAGTTTTTATATCTGTTTTTGCTTGATAGGTATATTATAGCAGTAGCAGTAACTCAGATGCAGAATTGTCCAGCAAGCCCCATATAGTTGATTGCTCTTACTGTCCTGGAGTTCTAGACCAATACAATGGAAAAAGGGTTTATAGCTGGACATGTTAATTCATATTTATGGTAGTTTCTTCCTTTCAACTAGGAAAAACTACCAAAATTGAAACTGATGCAAATATTCTCAGGGACATAAAACTTTAGGCAAGAATGTGGAATTAAAATAATTTCAGGCATTGTTTAATACTCTCATCATTTCACAGGTGGGTAAAATTTCAAAAATATCTCAATCCAATGATTTAGGCAGTGGGTAGATGTTCTTGTTTTAGAAGAGATTGCCAAGCTAACTTGAGTGACCATTTTTTTTTTTTAGATCCTGTTTATTTTGTGTGGTGAATTAGGGTCTATGTACAGGCTGGTCTGTTGGTAGAGGAGTGAGGATGATCATCTCTGTTACGGATGTGTGACAGTCCAGCTGGGGGTTGTAATCTCTTCCGCTGGTGAGATCCAGAAGACTACATCTGTCTTGGCTTCAGATGGAAGTGCTGGGTTCTTGTGTTGACAGGCATTGCATCTGTTAAATAAAAAGTGTGATTTTTAGATTTGTGGTTCAGTTACACGTAAAACATCATGAAGACACAGTTCTGTTAGTCTACCAACTAGAGTAATTAAGTTTGTAGATTGAGAAATTAGATGCATGATCTGAAAGAACTCCTAGTTCTTACTCTAATTTCTATCCATAGTACATGTGAAAATAGCCATGCGAGTAGTAACCAAACCTAATTTTCATTCACTTTAGGAGAAGTTTAAATGTTTCTGTTAATGACAATACATTTTTATTTCCACTAGACTTTATTATGTAAAATGTGTTACTGTTGTTTCCGAAAACTTGTCAAACCAAACATGCAAGCATTTGTAAAAGGATTCTAAACCATGCCAAAAGAACGAATTACTGTTTCTTTCCCACAGAAGAGGCATTTGTTCTGTTACTTAACAGGTGTGTCTGGTAAGATGTGTTCATACTTAGTAAGATGTTTAAAATGACTTCTCTGAAACTTCATACAGTAATTACTTTCTGAGAGACTCCTAATAATGAACTTTAGCTCCTGCAGCATTTGGCATTGTCACCCTGAGAAATTATCCTTTTGCAGCCGTGGGAATGAGCAGCGTGTGTAATTGCCATTACATCACTTACTGCTGATACACTGGCTCTCTTTTCACTTACGAACATAAGCTGGCATTGCTTGCTGGTAATGTTATTTTTGCAGAAGTATGGAATGAGGCTGCTCATGCCTTTGACGGCAAGAATGAAAGTGAGCTAATCAGATGATATTGATTAATTATCTTTGTTCTGTCTTCTTTGTTGTCAACATGAAATTTTGACTAAGAAAGTGTCCTGTTCCATGTACCATGTACGTGTTTGCCATTTTGTTTGTTTATTTTGTTTGCTGTGTTTTTAGAAGGGTAGACACCATTGTAATGCTTTGTTTTTTCACTGATAGTGCTTGTTAGTTGAGCACCATTGGTATAATTGAAGTATGTTTATTATTGTGCTGCCAATTGTCACAACTCTCTGACTCTTGTTTGCCTGTGATCAGCATGAATAAGTTTGAAGGTGCAGGTCTTCTGAACAGACCAAACATGATGGGTGACATTGTGTCTGAGGTGAAGTTTTGCTTTCTTCCTTTAATAGTGTCCAATTTATAGAAATATTTTCTTAGATACTGCTATTTGTGTAACTTTATTTTTTTTTTTTCTCCTGATTTATTGTTGAAGTAATTTTAGTAGTTGAAATTTTGTGGACTCTAAAAGAAATCCAGATCTAGCTGCCAAAAATGAGAGCTTTCCCTGCTTAATAGGACTGTTGCTTCCATTTATAATGTACAGACTGATTTCTTGGCATACTGTTAATGTGCATTTTCCTGTTTTTAGCATCAGTGGGCTGTCTGTTTAGAGTGTGGCATGTATTATAATTATTTGATTCGATTTCTGGCTCACCTAACTGCATCGCTACATTCCACAAGGCAGATCTTGTGGATACTTGTATTTGCACAAGTAGCAAAGAGATGAGTGGCTATAAGGTCTTTTAGAAGATTTTTCTCTAATTAGTATCTGGAACTTTTCAAAAATATGTCTTGGAAGAAAAGCTTGATTTCCTGGAGGAAAAGTAGCCACTTAAATGAAATGAATACATTAATGAAGTGTTTCAGGTATTTAATGTCTATGAAGCGCTCTGATAATTATACAACTGTAAAAATACAATAATTAGTATTTATTAGTAAGTACAAATTAAAGTAAGAAGACAAAATTAATAAATCATTTGTAATTTCATAATACAGACAAAATACAGTGTGGTGCATGAATGTTCTGTTTACATGTAATATGTGTATAAATTACTTTTTCAGGAAAATGCTTGGAAAATTCTACTTTTGGTCTCCTGGCTTTGGTGCAGCTTTACCTGCTTCTTACATGGCTATTCTCATTGAAAGGAAAAGCAGGTAGGGTTTGTGTTTATGGATTTTCAGCTTAATATAATAATGTTTCTTGTTTTGGTTGTTTGATGGTTGACATTTGACAATTCAGTGGGCTTATTTCAGAAATATAGTTCATCTAAAATAGTGTCTTATGCAACATTAAATTTAAATCTAGAAAGCTACAGTGAAAAACACTTTACAAACTTTCAGTTTCATGTTTGTGGTTGGTTTGTCTTGTTTAATGTGCAATTGCATTGCTCAGGATTGCCTGATAAAACTTGGTTGCTTAGGGCTTCCTAATGAAACTATACTTTTGTTCTTGCTTGTTTTTTAAAATGTAATTTGAGCAATGTTTGCAATTAGTCACAGAGAAGGAGAATGCTGATGACTTAACAACATGACATTAGTTAAGATGGAGGAATTATAGGATGTTGTGGAGAAAAGTGGGTGAATTGAAATAATTCTGATTGGATGAAATGTAATGGTACAGAAAGCAAAGCCTTTCACTTAAGGAGAGGCGCTGAAGTTCATCTATCGGAGGTAAGCTCATTATGAAAGCATTAAGAGGGAGAAGAAAGCACTAAGTAATCCAAGGATAGCCCAGAGCTGCCATTTGTAATGTGCCCAGGAAGATGGCAGGTGAAAATCCTGACTTGTAAGGTTTTATTGTTTGCAATTCAGTTTATGATGGTAGCTTGTATAAATAGTGTCAGTTGCAATACTTTCTTAATTTACTATGGACTGAGATGATTTAGGCATCTAGTTAGTAAGCTTAATTTAAAGAAGGTAAGAGAAGGGTAGAGGAAAGGATTACTCTTTTAAAAAAGATAATGAAGAAGGTACTAGAGGTGGTGTGAATGCACTTTTGGTTACTGTGAATGTCTGAAACTTCCTTAAGCAGTCATTTAAAAATAATGGCAAATATGTATCATTGTGTTGTTGGCTCGCTGTCAGGCCCCATTCCTGAACTTCAGCTGTGGAGTGAGCAAATCCCATGCCAAGTTTTACGTATGTCAAATTTCTGTCCTTTTAAACTAATGCATTAGCCATTGTTTTTGAAGATTTAGGATGTGTAAGAGTTTCTGGAAATATGGGAGCACATCAAAATAATTTTCTTTAATGTAACTATAGAGAACATAATTGTAACTGAGTTACTAAATGAGTTAATTATCATTTACATGTCCTCTCTAGCTGACTGATTTTAATCTTTCTGTAATTACTGCTCAAGAGATTGGATACATTTTACATTAAACTTTGTTTAGTTACTTAGACTCGGCATTAGCGTATCATTTTTGGGTGAGAGCAAATGCATTTTCTCCCTTTGATCAGTGATAACAGTGGCTTAACTTTTCCTATGGAGTTGTTACAATATGAGGCTTTTCTGTGCCAGACTTTTAATGTTTCTTGATAACATTAAAGAGGAAGAAATCAGGATGCTTGTCAATCTGTGACCTTTGTGTAGCTTTCAGAATATTTGTGAATGGAGAGTTGAAACTGCGTATGAGCCCAAACTTGAGCAAGGTTTTTGTATAACAGCAAAACATCTATGAGAAAATTGCAAAGGTACACTTGTTAAGAGTAACAAAAAGAGTAGGCAAACAAATTTTATATTAAATGTATTTTTATGTAATTGTTTGTGGCAATGTATGAAAACTCTGATATGTTAACAGAATTCTATTTAGCATCTGAAATTTGAAAGAAATGGAAGTTGAAATAGAAGTATGTGGAAATGGCAAAAGTAGATTGCTACAACATGTATGCAATGAATGATGCTGGAATAATTAATTTCTGTAGGTTTATTCCCCTTTCTGTCAGAATCCATATGCAACCTAAGGTATTTTGCCTGAAAATTCACATTATGTTGGACCATTTAAAAGAAAAAAAGAAATGTTGGTATTGTAGTATAACACATGTATGAAAATGTGGGGTCATTGTTCTTAACGAAAAGAATTGTTAAAGGATGTCAAAATGTATTTGAAGGTTAAGGAGTTTTTTAAAATATGAAGTTTCTTGGTATGTTCTCAGAAGGCAACTAAGTATAATGTGAAAAATGTTGCTGCTGACAATGAAGTACGACTTTCTGATTTCACATCTGTTTGCTTGTTAGCTTCTGTTACAGGCAAAATCAAATTTTAATAGACTCACAGTCCCTTAGGAAACTGATGTTTCACATGGAGACACAGAGGCATTTTCAGTTATCTGCTGAGCAGCTTAGAACAAATTGTAGTGAAAAATCAGGGAAGTGGGAAAAGGTCCTGATTTGAGTTCATAAACCTCTCTCTAGCTCTTCAAATTGCTACTAGCAGCTGGCAGCAACATTGAGCTTAATCACTTAATCTCTTCCCTAGTGGATACCCTATTTTAAGTGCCTCACTGGCATTTGCTTGCACAGTGTCCCTGTCAGTCCTGAACTTGGGAACAGCAGGCTTATAAATCAGATTTTCTTCCAAGGGTTGCTCTTCATGTGTGCAAGCCTTGTAGTATGTAATTCATATGGAAGAATGGGAAAAAGAGATTGATAGCTTGACTAGGTGCCTCATAATCCTGAGGATGAACATGTTTTCTAATGTGTTGCAGAATTAGTTTGATAGTTGTTTCTATCTATGTTATATATAATTACAGATTTGCAGGACACTGGCAATGAGGAGGGGAGGTGACATTGCAAAGAAACTTCAGACAGACTCAGGAAATGCTCTGCACTATATTTTGCTCCTACAGGTCTATAAAGATATAAATGTCGCATTAATATGTCCATGTGTCTTCTGTTTCGTGACCATAAAATGTAGTTGTCCTATCTATGAAAACTAGTTTATCAGGATCTGTGGAAAGGGCCAAGGAATAAAAACAGTACTTAACTTATTTGTATATGTATCCATAAATGTTCTGTGAGATTATTGGAAGAGAACTGGTGACATTATTATTATTAAGTAATGTTTTGATAAAAATTGTTTCTTAGATAAGAACTGGATGTGAATACATAAACATGGAGATTATGAATCTGCACATTGCAAACACATATTCTATGCTTTTCATCCCTTACTCCAGTAGGAGGAACTCAGAATTTTTCCCTTTTTCTGGTGCTCTCAAGCTTTGTGGATTGCCTGTTAGGATTAGGAGGAAGCATTTTTACTGGCTCTAATTTGTTTTAATTGTCAATATTTTAGTCATTCTTTATGTTTATATTGTTTTACATCTTCTGTGAAAGAAAAATGTGCAGTTGTTTTGTCACAAAGTTCAGTTTTTGTGGTGTTAGACATTAAAAGCTGTGTTAATGTCTCCTCAAAATTAGAAATTACTCAATTGACTCAGTTCCATTAATTTCACTGAACTTCCTTAGGAAATCATTGTATTCTTTCTATTAATCATTGTATGGATTTGTTTAACCATACAATCCTTGTTAGCTCCTACAGGTGATGTTTCCAATTGGTGATAAGAAGCAATTTTATTTATAATTTTTAAAAAAGAATATTTTGCTTGTATCTTTTGGCTTCTGTTTGTAATTCCAAGTTACAGTCTCCTGTCATTTCTTTCAACATCTCTCACCAAGCATTGAAGATACAGTAAGGAGGAGATATGCGGCTTGGACTGAAAGACATGGCGCTGCTTTGTTCAAGAAGCACCAAAACTGTTAGAAAGCAAGGAAGTAACTGAATATACTTGTTAAAATTATTGTGATTCAAGCTGTTGAAATGTGATTTGTGACTTGGCTGAAGCCAGCCTATTACTGGAAGTCTGATTAGATCAGTTGTACCTTGCTGACTTCTAAGACAAAGAAGTCCCATAGTTTGGTGGAGAGTCTGCATTTAAGACCTCTGTGATTACTTTCTAGGAAAAATTGTGTTCTCTCAAGTGTTTTGTAAATGTGCTGATACTTCAAAATCATTTAAGTAATGTTTTGTTTGTAGCTGAATGGCAAACTTCATTTTATTAGACTTTGTTCAAGAAATCATGTACTAATGAATTTCAAGAACTATAAAGCTTTAAGGGGGGACACAATTCCAGTTTTGATGAAGTTAATTGTCTTGCTGCCTGGCTGTTTTAATTTTTGTCCCCTGCCTTTTGTAGCTAATTAAGCCAGAAGAAGTTTAACTACAGCCACCTAAAATTTCTGTGGCATTTGTGAAAGGACACTTCTGGGGTTGCCCCTGCTCCCCCCTTAGGCTGCATTAATGTTTACATACTGGCTGTTAACATTATAGCGGCGCCTGTCTCGTCGCTACAGTTACAACTCTGTCACTGATGGTATTATAAAACTTGAGATTTAGGGCTTTTATAATTTGGTTGTAAAATCTTGCTCTGGGCAACTATTTGTAATATGTTTTTAGTTGAAAACTTTGGGTGTTTTTCATAAAAAATCAGTATACTGGACTCTTAGAAAAATATTTAAAGCATATGCATTTAAAATGTAAAGCAGTGCAACAGGGTGTGTTATAGAGGACATCTATATATACACACACATATATTTAGTGTTATTGGAAACAAAAGTATTACTATGCATTGCTTGGAAAAGTGACAGAAACATTTGTGTAAGAACAATGTGGAATTTTTACACTGTATACTTGTTCTGATGAAACATTCAGAGCTGTTAGGATTATTTGCTTGCCATAAATGCCATTAGTCTAAACACATTATAAAGGAGGAATATGCCAGCACAATAATGGTAAAAAGTATGCACTGTAAAGAAATACAATAATTTTGTAACTTTGTAACATTCAAATACAAATTTGTTGATATATATTTCTTTATAGTGGTATAGTGCATTTAGACTTGAGGTGACAATCTTCAAAAATGTTTTGTGTCTATTTGAAGGTTATTATAGGGAAACAGATAAATCACAATTTTAATGGAGTGAGTAATCAAAACAAGTGAACAAACTCTTTTAACACAGCAAGTGTTTTTGCAAGCCTTAGTTGTACTTGCTACAGGTAAGAAATTGAGAAAGCAAGCTATGTTGAGGGGTGATTTTTTTGCATATTCTTTGCATTGTAGTGAAAAAACTTTGGAGTTTGGATCACTGAAGTGAG